GTTGTCATTGTTGTTTTTAGCAAGCCCAGGCTGGGTTCGAATCCTTCAAACCCACCAGCCCCGGTGTATATTGCCGGTGCCCTAACCACTGAGATATTGGTGCAGAGCCTATCTTGGATTTTTGATAGTTTGATTAATACATATCTTGGTATACGCCTCCTTAAGTCTAATTTGATTGGCAGGATAAATATGGAAACTCTGTAAAACCCTTTCAATTTTGCTGTAAACCTAAAACTTCTCTAAAAAATAAAATTTATAGATAAATAAATAAATGGTTATGAGTTGATATAAAAAATATCAACTCAATATCTATTATCTATTATCAATAGATAATATCAATATCTATTTATCTATAAAATTTATAGATAAATAAATAAATGGTTAGGAGTACTGTCTTTGCACCAGAATTTCTGGTTCCAGCAGGTTGTGTGTGTGTGTATACACACGTATTTTTTCTTTTCTTTCTTTTTTTTTCTTTGTTGCCCTCAGTAGAGTGCCATGATGTCATAACTCACAGCAACCTTTTGGCTCCAGCCATTCTCTTGCCTCAGTCTCCCAAGTAGCTAGGACTATAGACACCCACTACCATGCCCAGCCAGTTTTTCTATTTTTAGTGGAAATGGGGTCTCACTCTTGCTTAGGCTGGTCTCAAACTTCTGAAGTCTCACTCTTGCTCAGGCTGGTCTTGAAGTTCTGCACTCAAGCAATTCACCCGCCTCAGCTTCCCAGAGTGCTAGGATTACAGGTGTGAGCCACTGCACCCAGCTTTATTGTATACATTTGAGGTATTCAACATGACATTATAAGAAGTATATATGTGTGTGTGTAAATGGTTATTATAGTGAAACCACTTAACATATCCATCATCTTATTTATCCAATCCCCCTCCACCATGGCAAGAACAACTATAAATTCATTTAGCAAAAAATCCTGAATACAATACACTGTTATTAACTATAGTCCTCATATTGTACAGTAGATATCTTTACTTATTCACCCTGTATATTTGCAACTTTGTACCCTTTAACTTACATCTCCTCATTTCTTTCCCCCCACCTCTACCTCTGGTAGCCACTGTTCTATTTTCCATCTCTATATATTTGGACACCTTTTAATTTCCCGCTGATTTGACTTTGGTCTTGTTCTTCCCCCACTTTCTTCCGATTTTTCCCAGGCCCTGACCTGAGGGAGTAGAGGTGAGAGGGAGTAAAGAGGAAGTGGAGGAGGTAGAGGAGACCAAGGAGGAAGAGGAGAAGACTAGGCTGAGAACAACAGTTATTTATAACAGAAATCTCACAGGTACCAAAAAAACCCCAGCTCTTTTCAGGAACAAACAAAAAAGGTAATTGAAATAACTGGGTGACAAAGTGCAAAAGCAGGAATAACTTTCTCTGTGCTTCATTTTCAAGGCCTCAAAGAAATCCATCCTACTTTTCATAGACACTGGCCTCACTCCTCTCCGCCACCCCTCACCCCCCAACTCCATTTGGCACTGTCTGAAATTCCAGTGAACTGAAACCCTGCAAAGGCTGTAGGAGCCTTAGAGCCCTGAGCATAAGGGCTCAGGCCACATCCTACCTGTTCTTGTTTTCAAAGTTCTGTTTCATCTCAACACAGCGGAGATCCATTTCACTAGAAAGCTAGAAACAAAACCATCATCAACATCAACACCACTGGATTAGGAACCCCTGCCCCACTCTGATCTGTGCCTTTTGAGAAGCCTTCCAATTCATGGAAGATACCCCCCTCCCCATTCCTCTCCCACTGTGCTCTTCAGTGCCAGAGAGCACACTGTTACTGAGGGAATGGAATAATTTTTGCCTTGCTCTGTGTTGCTTTGTACTTAGTTCATAATGTGGGTGCATGTTTCTTACTAACTGGTTTTGTGGGTGGGTCTGGTCTCCTCTGATAGACTATGATCTCTTTGTAAGATCATAGTTTTGGAATTCTTGGATATATAATTAAGTTGAGCAGACCAATCATTTATTAACCAAAAAGCTTGACTTGAAAGAGCCAGAAAGGGCTAAGATTCATACCCCGACTTCAAGGAATATAAAATCCTCTGCTAATCCATACTTGTTGACAGCACGATTGGGTTCTAACAGACAGGATTTGCTCATCTTCAGGGGAAACTTTGTTCTGCATGCTAGTTCCTCTGGCCAGTGTCTCAGGAGAAATAGTCCTCCCTGTCACATAAGGCAAGGGTTTGGGGCTTATCCTTGACCCTCTCTGATAACGGGGCACAACCCAGTGGGCAGGCCTGCCACTCTCATGGAGGCTAGCACAGTGGCACAACTCTCTTCCACAGAGCCACACAACAAATTGGGTGTTCGCAAGTGGGAGAATTTTCAGGACCATAATCTAAGTCCCTTCCATGGAAACAGACTCTAAAAATTTTCAGCAAGGTCTGTGCTCCTGAGTAAAAATGTGCATTTTGCTCCATAACCCATCACTGTTGAGCTGAATTATTTTACTTTCCTGAACCTCAATTTCCTTTCTATAGAAGGAGATTATAAACCTGGCAGGATTTTCAAATAAATAATGACTCAGTAGCAGGGGAGGCCTCTGACTGAGTCATAAGCTGGGTGTGGGTCACTGTAGGATTTAGTGTCATCTGGGACATGTCAGAGAGTCAGAGGCTGCCTGCATGAGAGTAAAACCTCACAACATGGTTTTAATCACACTAGGGAGGGTGTTTCTGAGCATGGGCTGTGAGCACTGGCTGTCACTCCAGCCCAGGTCACCAGGTACATCTGCTTAAGGTGGGAAGGAGGTCACTGTGATGAAACAGATGGTAAAATTTAAAGAGCTGTCAGTAATATCCTCACAAATGACTGAGAGTGAGAAGTGACAGTGGATTCTGACATGCAACATTGACAGCTTACACAGTCACAGTGACTTCTAGGAAGAGCAGCTCTGGCTCTGTACCTCTAGTGAGAGCCTGGCAACCTCTGAAGCTTAACGCACCACAAGGGCCAGACAGGAAATGACCAGCGCCCCCTAGAGGGGAGAGGCACATAGAGACCTGGAAATGAACGAGTTAAGTGTTGAGAAGGGCCTTGAGTTCTTGCAACTGTGGATTAACAATTAACAATGAGTCAGAGAAATACTACTGGGCGACACAGTCCTGTCTTCAGAGTCCTGTCACCTGGACAACATGCCTCAAAGTGCTTGAAATCTTGCTTGACACATAGGTGATCTGAAAATATTAGTCTTATCGTATCCATGAAGATGATGGCTAAGATGAGGATCACTCACCAATTTCTGGGCAGACTGATGGTCTCTGTTCATTTGTTCTATTGCTGCCATCAGCTCTGAGATCTGCTCTTCCAGGTCAGAAATGATATCAGTCCTGTAGGACAAATAATTTTTTATCATCCATAGAGCTTACCTTTCCATGACCGGCCCCTGAGCATGACTGGCTCTGGTCTGAGGCAAGCTGGCCATATTCTGTACTTGCTCCATGATTTTGGGATGATGCAGAGGGAAGAGAGTGCTCTTGGAAAAGGCATTTAGCAGTAGGGTGGTTGAGCCTCAGCTCTGGCTCTTTTAGGTAAGAAAGCCCAATGGGAGCTGGGTGGTTTCATGTCCTAATGTATAGGAGGGAAACAGGAATATGCCAGAATTTTCTTTTTAAAATAGAGGTTTGAGGGCAGCAACTGTAGTTTAGTAAGTGAGGCACTGGCCCCACATACCGAGTTTGAACCCACCACTGACCAAACTGCAACAAAAAAATAGTGGGGCATTGTGGTGGGTGCCTGTAGTCCCAGCTACTCGGGAGGCTGAGGTAAGAGAATCACCTAAGCCCAAGAGCTGGAGGTTGCTGTGAGCTGTGACACTACAGCACTCTACCAAGGGTGACAAAGTGAAACTCTGTCTCTTAAAAAAAAAAAAAAAGGTTTGACTTTGATTTGGAAGTGTTAATTAAAACAGTGGGAGTTCAGAGTGAAAGGAAATTAGAAGGGGGGATATAGGATTGATGCAACAGTGAATCATAGACAAGTAATGGACCAGATATGGGACTAAGAGGGAATTTGAGAGTGGTTTTCAGAGGAGATGATACTCTTCTGTGTTTCTGGGTCTAAGAAGGCCTCCATGTCATCTGTTAAATTATTCAGGTCTGTCCGGTGGAGCTGGAGTAGACAGGGTGGCCGGCAGTGCTATGTGCCTTGGAGCTGAAAGGAGTTTCTCGATTCAAGAGGCCTTGAGCCCTTTGGCCAATCACCCTCCATGTTGAATGAGCACAAGAAGAATGTGGGGTGAAAAAACATGAAAACACTAGCAGTAAAGGGTGCCAGAGGATGGGAAAGATGAAAGGGCAGGAGAAAGTTGAATAATAGGGCATTCTTTTGAACCCCATCTTCAGTGTAAACAACACTCACAGTTTTACCAGGAAATACAAGAAGCATGGGCTATTATGTTTTATTAGGGCACGTGGTGACAACTTTCTGATGGGTACATGGCCCATTCTTCTCCTCATCTCCTCTCCTCATGGATAAGCCAGGAAAAGAAAACAGAGGTTGAATGCCTCCAGTGGATGGGAAGGCAGGACCGGGGGTCTGACTGCTCTGGGCCACGTCAGAGTAGGGCAACTCAGCAGCACAGCCCTTCAGCCTCATTCACAATCTGAATCCTTTGCCAGAGGCAGCCACTTCTAGCAGTTTGGTTTCTTTACAGTAGTGGACTCTGTGTGTGTATACACAGGTGTGTTTTCTGTTGTTGTTGGGTTTTAGATTTGTGTCCTGGAAAAATAATTCTCATAGCAAAATAAGCCTTTAGGAAGAGACACTTTGAGAGCAATTCAGTAGTACAGGTAAGACGTAAGATGCCTGAACTTGGGTAGGATAGTGGGGGAGAAGATACAAATGAGAGATTAAGAGGTGGAAGTAGAGGTGTGGAGACATGGGATAGGGCATAGGAGGACAGGGGTGGGGCTTGA